TGCACAGTGGTTGCCACGCCTAGAACTCTGGAAACATTTCAATTATTTCCGTAAAACTGTTACCCAAACCACAGTTTCCTTTATGCACGTTCCACTGTACTTTGCACTCGAAGTTCCAACATTCAGATTGTGTCTCAGGCTTTTTGCCACCGCACAGTTATGATGGGCCAGTCCAAAAAAAAAAGTGTCGATGACGTCGCACCAAGTCCAATGACTATTTCTGGTCTTCTCTGCTTTTGTCATTGTTTCCGAAATTATGTTCAATGCTTCAGTGGCCCCGTCCATTGCATAACAATTAGTTTGTCTTGGCTCGGAGAAAATGTATGGTAAAAAGTCAATTCAAATGAGCCACAAAGAATAATTCACGACGTCGCTTCCAATTTTTGAATAGATTGCTTCGAATTTGTGAAAAGATGTCTTCATTAGGCAGCTTTGATGGGGCCAGATGTGGGCTGGTTTGGCTGTCGATGACACATTTCTAATGCCGAATCGGGCTGCACCCTTTTTTGGGGTGGCGGGAATGAGCTCTGAGCACACTTACACCATTGTATCTATGCCAAATTTATGCCTAATGAGCGTGGCATTCAGTTTGATAACTCATTTGTTTAGCTCTCGATTCTGGCTGGGGCTCTGGCTCGATTTTGGCTCTGGATCTGCCTCTGCCTCTGTGGCTCTTGTTGGGGGCACACATTATAAACGAATTGAGGCTAAATTTGTTCCACATGAGACTTCGTTCGGCTACCGACGCACACTTCTACACAAAGTATCTTTTGATTTTTGGTGTTTTTTCTTATTTTTGGGTTCATAAATAACATATTCCAGTTTCTGCGGAGTATCTTCTTATAACCACATGTGCTGCAAAGGGGCAAAACTAAAATCAAAAGAAGCCAAAAAACAGAAGCAATTCAAACGAAAAGCCGGGCGGGGTGGGGCAAGCAAACAAATATTAAGAAATTCTCTGGCACAGACACGCACACACTGGCACACACTTTGGAGTTTATCATTGTAATGCAAATGAAGGAAGTGCGCGATTCTGGCGTTGCCATTGCCTCCACTGCCGTAGAATTCGAGGTGAGGCTGTGGGGCTGAAGCAGGGGCACACCAAACAGCAACGGAGAGGCAACATTTTGATGCCGTGGGAAATGCGAAAGCGGCACACGATTTGCCTTACGCTCCCCGCTCCTCTTCCGTTCTGCTGGGAAGACTAGGGTGGGGCGCGCTGGGGCAGAGCTTCTCCTCTCTTACGGTTAGTGCAGCCAGTTTATCAGTCAGTCAGTCCATCAGTCGGCGAATGGAATTGCACAAGAATGGCACAAACGAAAAAAAAACAAGAAAAAACACACACAAAGTTATGAATATGAATAAATAATTTTACGCAGATTGGCAAAGCTAAGATAAAATATGCTCACACACACACACACACACACACACACACAGACACTTTCTTTGACAATCAGAGTTCCAGCGAGGGTGCTAATATTCATGCAGACGCGAAAAGCTCTCTCGAGTCGCGGAAAGTGGAAAAGTGCGAAAAGTGTGCAAAGGAAAACAAAAGTTTGAATGTCACAAAAGGTGCACACTTTATGTGTAATTTTAATGCCAAATGAATATTTGGACAGCTGCAGGGGTATATTCAATAAATCTTTTGGCAGAAGATTTGCCTGTAAAATCATTTCTTAATGTGATGCAAATTTATTTCATAATTTAGATAAAGGAATTTTCATGTTAAATAAAGAGAACACACGCCATAAGCCTTGAATACCAGAATGTAGAGCGAGGAATGCACCGCTCTAGCTGTGTTATTTAGCTACTTGCATCAGGGACACGGGGCACGGGGCACGGACATGGCATGGCGTATAACAACTTTAGCACCGCACAAAAATAGTTAAGTATTCGCGTTCATGAAAAACCGCATGCATAAACATCCGACTACGTCAGACAATAGTTTAAACAAAGCTTCAGCCGGGGATTTTGGCCCGATTTTGGAGTGGAAGCGGCACGGCGCACTGCCAAAACTGACCGAATGCACAGACCAAAAGTACCGAAACACCACTCCACCGAGCCACCGAGCCACCCAATCACCCAACCCCCTGTCCGCCACCACTCTGCACTCTTGTAACTGCAATCCTAGCGATTCGAGCGGCCAACTTGTTTTGTAGTTGTCTATTTATGCGCTTAGTGCTGTATGCAAATAGTTGGCGTACCTATCGTACCTCCCCCCTGAATGCCACACTGAACCAGTTTTTTGTTTCGAGTGCCCTTCAGCCTCGGCCTCCCGCCCCCAACCAAAATCCACCCTGTGTTTGCATTTTTTATTAACAAACAGCAGCAGCAAATAAATGAAAGCAAAAACGAAAAACAAAACAAACCCAAAAAAAAAATACCCCATCAAGGGTATGCAAAATATTTGAAGAAATGAGAACCCTTTTTCGGTGTTTTTTGTGTTATTTGCTGGGTGTGGGCCACGATAAGCCAGTGGCGAGGGGGAGGTTTGTCTGCCCGAAATGTACCCCAGAAGCGGGTGTTGTTGGTGTTTGTGTTGCTACAACGATATTTCATGTATACCACACGCATAATCGTTGTTGTTTTAGTGTATTAATTTTGGTTTTTAATAAAGCATAAATATTTGTGTTTGCGCTTTCAACTTGGCCCCCGGCCGAGTCACCCTTTCCCCCGCACACCCGCTGTACGTTTTTATTGAAGTTTGGTAAATCAAAGTTTAGTTTTCATGGCCAGAGGGTGCATATTCTAAAAAATGTTATTGGTATGTACGATAAATGTACGTATGTACATGGGAGAGTACATAAATATCTACTAGTGGGTTAGCTGTGCGGTCAGCAGCATCCCAGCGGTCTCATTACGTTCCATTTATCCATTTGTTATCCGAAAGCAAACTTATAAATGCAAAAAAATACAACTACATCGATATATGTACAATGTACAATATGTGCACTGCTGTATGGCTCTGTCCGTATTAATTGTAAATTCCTCTATGACAGCTCCAACATATTCATATCCACAGCCACCGCCACCGCCATATCGGGGCTCTGTACCTTTTATGGGGCTTAAAGTGATTTGCCTTACATATGCATTTTGCATGTTTTAATTATAAAACAAATCAATTTCCCACCATCAACCTCCCCCCACTGTGCTGGCCGGCGAACAACTTAATGACATTTTTCCATTTCTTTAAGAAACTGTAGCCGTGCACTTTGCATAAATGCATTTCTTATAAGTATTCGCGTTTGGTTATCCACTTTCCGATCGTTAATGACAACGTGGAGCTCGAAAGGGAATGGGAAAAGGAATCCAGATGGGCTCCTTGGTGTTGTGGGTGTGGGGGCCGTGAAAACTTTAAGTCGATTGCAATACTTTCAGTCTACGTAAGTAAGTAAGTCTAAGTAATTAATAATGGCAAACTGATTGAGTTTTTCTCTTGGAATTTTCGAACTTTAACAAGATGCTCGCTCGTCTTCAACTCAGGTCTACTTTCATTTGCTAGCTTTACCTGTGCAGGAATTTAATTCATTCGAAAAAGAACAAGGTAAAGCATGGCTGACCCATTCTCTGAAGTATCTGCTGTAGCTGAACCCTTTCCGTTTTGCCATTAAATTTTGCTACTTTCTTGACGCTTTTTATTATTATTTTCTTGTTTGTATTTTCCTGTTGATTTTCTCGTGTTTTGTGTCTGTGCAACTGCTTATTGATTTTCAATTAGTTTGCTTTGCTTTTCAATGTAGACTGGCGCGGCAGTTGCAGTTTGCAATTTGGGTTTTCCTTCCACTTATTTCCACGTCTGTACATATATTTTCCGCACCAAAATGACATACTTAATTTGCCATCGAGTGTACTTTTCGCGTGTGTGTGTGTGTGTGGCTTACACTCATAAAATATGCAATCGCCAAGCGCTCCCAACGATTTTTGGCCAACGATTGCGGCAAGACTTTTGGCAAGAGATTGTGGCTCCGACTCTGACTCTGACTCTGACGCTGACATTGCCAAAAAAGTGTCAGGGTTAGAGCAGAAATACATAGACGCATGCCGATATGCTGGTATGCCCATAAATAAGAGACAGCGCCAGCAAAATTCGAAGCTCTTTAGGAGCATCCTTAAAGCCTTTTCGGCTCTGGGTAAAAATGAAATCTTCACTCAACTGCGGGCTAATTAGAGACTATAACATTAATTCATTTGCCAATCAGTTTTCCCCCAAGCGGCGAAAATAAATATATTTGTCGTTTTTTTAGTGGAAATTATTAGCTCGTTCGAGTTGTTGAGGTTTTGTGAAATTTTGCGGTTTGTTGGAGCAAAATGTATGCAATTACAAAACGCAATTTTCGCACGGCACCGCATTTTAATTTCGTTTTATAATTTCGACAAATAACCATTTACATAAACGAACAAACGGACTGCACATGTGAGTTTTTCAGTGAGTGGTGTTTGCGGCATATGCAAAGTGTTTGTTCGAGTGCGTTTTCCCATCAGAGTATACCAACATTTGTTGGTATTAATAAATAAAATAATTATTTACAAGCAATTAACTTTACGCTACGCATAGCTTTTGTTTAGTTAGTTTAGTATGCGAGTTTTAGTTAAAATTTCGGCCATTGCAACATTTAATGTTTTGCCCTTAATAAATCGCATTAAAAATTAAGTATGAAATAATGGTATTTGTGGTGTCTGTCAGTCCATGGGGAAGGCTGTCGGAACGTTGAAGGTTTCGTGGTGATGTTTGTTTGATGAGCGAAAATAATTGAAATTTAAAACAGGCAGATGTCCATGGGTACTACGATGGGTATGGCTTCCTGCAGTAAGCATTAACAAAAGTAGAATCCATCCCATCTTAACCATTTCGCTGCCATATCATACCACAGATATACCCTTTTCCCGCTGCTAAAATTGATTAAAAACAGTTGAGTTTTGTTTAAATGTTTTCACAATATTTTGTAATGTTTTTGCGTTTATTTTCTCAGATATATTTCTTGTTCTGTTTTTTGTTTTGTTTTTTTGTTTTTCTGCTTGTTGTTTTATGTAATTGTAATAATTAATTTAATAATACATTTGCCATTAAGTAAATTGAATTAAATTAATTTAGTTTCGTACCCCCATCGGGGCGGGGGTCTCCTTCTCTATACAGTATACAGTACGACATTACATTACAGTAATAAATACATTAAGTGCTCTAAATGGTTGTTGTTGTTGTTGTTGTTGTTGTTGTTGTTGCTGTTTGCGATTCTGCTATATACACACATTACATTCAGATTAAATTTAATTGAAATATTTGAAATAGTTATTGTTTTCGTGTAGCTTAGGATGAGTGGTGCTCCAACGTTGATGCGAACGAACGACGAATGTATATTTTTGTTTAGTTGTAGTTTATTTAGGTTCTTTTTTATGCCTGGCTAGAACTACTAAATATATATCTACGAATTACAGTGTTTTGGGGGACAGGGGACAGTCGGGCTCCCCGCTTTTAACTATAGTTAATTAATATATCACATTGAATTTGAAAGTGTTTTAACAACATTTCTAGTAATTGTTTTTTTGTTTTCTCTTTTTTTTTTTGTTATATAGATAAATGCTAATTATTTTATAGTTTTTTTTTATGTGTATTTATATACGTGTCCCTCTCTCTCTCTCTCTCTGTCTGTCGGTCTCTGGCTCTTTCTGTCTGTCTGTCTGTCTGTCTACAAAACGACAAACACAATTCTCTAACCCCTGACGACATCGACAACAACGACACATGAACGAACACCAGAGGCGAAATGCAAATAAATTGTTTCAAGAAATGCCTACGAAAAAAGTCTTTTTGTTTTCTACTATAGTGTGTGTTTGTGTGTGCTTGTGTGTGTGTGTGTGTGTGTGTGTGTAGTGTATGTTCTACTTCCGCCGGTTGCGCAAGCGAGCGAACCAGCTTCAAGATGGCCGCCCCTGCGCAGGAACCGCCCGTGAGCAGTGCGAGGGAGAAAGAGATGGCAGCAGGAGCAGTGTGTGGCAATGGGGCAGGGCATTGCAGCTTTTTTCGCAGCTTACACCAGGAATGCCTGTCCATTCTTATTGGCCGTCTCACCGGTGGCAGCTGCCTGTTGCTGCTGCTGCTGCTGCTGCTGCTGCTGCTGCTGTTGTTGTTGCTGTTGCGCTGCCGCAGCGGATGTGGAAGCCTGCGCCGTCGACTGTGTACTTGTGCTGGCCTGACTCAGTCCACTGCCACTGCGCAGATGCACGGGCGCCGTTGCCTGCTGCGGCATGGGCATGGCCGCGCCCACCGCCCGGAACTGGGGCTGCAACAGGCGCTGCTGCTGCTGCTGCTGTTGCTGCTGCTGGTGGTGGCGCGCCAGCTGCTGCTGCTGTTGCTGCTGCTGATGCTGATGGTGGTGCATCAGGCCAGTGGGGATCATGGAGAGAGCCTCGTGCTGATCGTAGGCGCTGTACTCCGACTCGATGCTGTGGTAGATGTGCTCCGAGGGCGGGCGCATGGGCATGGGCATGGAGTCCACAATGCGTGCCGGGCCCCCTGGGCGGGTGGGCCTGGGCGAGGGGGTGGCTGTGGTGGCGGAGCTGTAGTTGGCCTCCATGTCCTCGGTGCAGTAGTAGGCTGGCGGCGGCGGGGCCTGGCGGAAGATCATGCCCGGGGAGACGGGCTGCTTGAAGCGCTCATGGTGGTCCAGGGTGTAATTGTTGCCCCGCGGCGACAGCTCGATGGGGATGGCATAGCGGAGCTTCTCCCAGAAGTAGCGGTCGCAGGTGAGCAGACGATTCGATGGCACGGACTTCAAGTAGGGCGAGAGCTCGGCCACATCCTCGGCCTCTGAGGAGACGCTAGTCTCCTCGATGATCACCAGCTTCTGGGCGAGTCCGCGGAGTGCCTCGTGGAAGGCGTTGCGGAACTCGACGCGATTCCATTCGGTGGCCAGCAGATTGCGTGTGAGCACCAGAATGATCTTGCGCGAGGCGCGAGCTCCCTCCACCAGCTGCAGGTGGGAGGCCTGCGGGGGCAGATCGCGCTGCTGAATGCACAGACGAAACGGCGGACGGCCGTGCTCCAGCTCGGCGGCAATGTTGCGGCAGACAAACTCGTAATCCTTCTCGGAGTGCAGAATGATGGCGTCGTACAGCTTGCCGGCATCCTCGAAGCGCGGCTCGCAGACGCGAACGCCGTAGTGGGCGAACAGCCACATGCGCACGCTCTCGCGGAAGACAAAGACAACGATGAGGACGACGACCAGGAAGATGAGCACCAGGACGGCGGCCAGCAGCGGCAGGCGATAGCCACCGGCAATGTCCTGCGACGAGGAGATGTTGCTGGCGCTGGCATCGAGCAGCTCGGAGCAGTCGGGTCCACCGGCTGCATTGCCGAGCAGCTCCAGCTCCCGCTTGATGCCCGCATCGATGCAGTAAATGTCCGCCGAGTCGCGCACCACCATGGCATTGTCCGACACAAACTGTGCCAGTTCCCGCAGCTGTTGGCAGCGGCACGACCACGCATTCCTGCCCAGCGTCAGGCCCTGCAGGCTGTTGCGGTACTGCAGATGGGGCAGCGTGCTCAGACGATTGTTGTCCAGGCGCAGCACCTTGAGGGAGACGAGCGGCTCGAAGCTGCCGTTGGAGATGTGCGTCAGCATGTTGTTGTGCAGATACAGCTCCCGCATGAGATTCAGCGCCTGGAACTCGGTGCCCTCCAAGGTCGTCAGTTTGTTGTTCTCCAGATGGAGCACGCGTAGATTGGTGAGCTGCGAGAGGCTGCCGTTCTGCAGGGTCATCAGATTGGAGGAGTTGAGGTAGAGGGCGCGCAGATTGCGCTTGCCCGCCAGCTGTCCCGCCTCCAGCACGGGAATGTTGTTGCCATCCAAGTAGAGATCGCTCACGTCCTGGGGTATGCGGGCGGGCAGGCTGCCGAGATCCTGCTTGCCGCAGTCCACGATGTTCGTGGACCAAGTGGCGTCGTGGAAGCAGCTGCAGTTGTTGGGGCAGATCACCTCGCACTCGCACTGCTCGTACTCGCAGCAGTGGCATGTGGGCGGGCAGTGGCTGTCGTACTTGCAGACAAAGTCCGTGGAGGCCAGGCTGGAGAGCGGGCGCAGTGGGGCGTTGCGGCTGTGGGGCATCAGGCACTCGATGTTGGCCAGATCCACAACGCGGGGATGCTGCCGGGTGGTCAGGTTGTTGATGCGCTGCAGCCACTCCATGGAGCAGTCGCACTCGAAGGGATTGCCACCCAAATAGAACTCGGGCACCGGCTTCTCAGCGGAGACGGGGGCCACACGCAGCGCATTCAGCGAGATCTTGGACAGAACGTTGGCGTACAGATCGACACGGGCCAGACGCGTCTTGTCCACAAAAGTGTTGGCCTGAATCTGCCCAATGATGTTGTTGTTGATGAACAGCAGCTCAATGGAGTTGGGCACGGACATGGCGCCGATCTCCGTGATGCGATTGTGCGAGGCATCCAGCGTGGTCACGCGTATCTCCTCCTGCAGCTTGTAGTAGTTGCCCAGCGCCTCGATGTAGTTGCCATGAATGTCCAGCCACTTGAGGTTCGACGGGATGAAGGCATAGTCGAACCACACCAAGTGATTCTCAGACAGATTCAGCCACAGCAGGGAGGCCAGTGTGGCAAAGATGCCATTGATGTCGGTGAGAAAGTTCTTGTCCAGCCGAATGGCCTCGATCTCCGTGTTCTTGTCGAAGGTGCCACGCTCAATGTTCTGAATGCGATTCTTGGCCAGATTGAGCACGCTCAAGCGTGGCAGATCCTGGAACATGCCCACGGTGATGTTGCCGATGCGATTGTCGATCAGGCGCAGACCCGTCAGCTGGTTGAGATTGCGGAATGTGTTGTTCTTGAAGTCCGAGATCTGATTCTCGCCCAGATCGAGTGTCTTGAGCATGCTCAGATCCTGCACGGCCTCGGGCACCTCCATCAGCTGATTGGAGCTGAGGTCGAGCTCCTTCAGGTCGGAGCAGTTGCGGAATGCCTGCATCTCCACGATGCTGATGAGGTTGTTGTTCAGCGTCAGCTTCGTCAGCACATAGAGCCCGTTGAAGATCTTGTTGTCGAGTGTGTGGAGACGGTTCTCGGCGAGGTTCAGGGTGTGCAGATTGTAGAGCGGCAGGAAGGCGCCCTCCTCCACATGGCCTATGGAGTTGTTGCGCATGTCGAGAATCTGCAGAAAGTACAGCTCCTTGAAGGTTTTGGCCCCGATGCGGGTGAGCGCGTTGTTCGAGAGATTCAGCACGATGAGGCGGATCAGGCCCGCGAATGTGTTGTTGTCCACGTGATGGCTGGTCAGCTGATTGCCGCTCAGATCGAGCACCAGCAGCTGCTCGAGGCGATGCAGCAGACCCTTGGGCAGATCGTACAGATCGTTGCCCTGCAGATGCAGTTCGCGCAGCTCCTTGTTGCCCGCAAAGGCATCGGCGGGCAGCGACTCCAAATGGTTGTACGAGATGTTGAGCACGCGCAGAGAGCTCAGACCCGCCAGCGAGTTGGGCGCCAGCGAGCTGATGTTGTTGTGCTGCAGACTGAGCGTTTGGAGGCGACGCAGGCGGGAGGCGCCCCAGGCATCGGGCAGGGAGCGCAGCTCGTTGTAGGAGACATCCAGCACCTGGAGCTCGGAACCACCGCTGACGGCACCGTTGGCATTGCTCAGGGCCGAGCCAACGCACAGTTTCTCGGAGAAGCCGAGATACTCGGCGGACCGGATGCGATTCTGGGTGAGATTTAGCAGCTGGAGGCTGGGCATGGAGCACCACAGGCCCTCGGGCAGCTGTCTCACATTATTGTCGGCCAGATGCAGTTCGCTCAGCTCGCGCAGGCCGTGGAAGGACTGGGCATGCAGATCCAGCGTCTTGCCCGGTCCCCACATGGCGTTGTGTGTCTGCAGACTCAGCCGCTTGAGGGAGAGGAGACCCTCGAAGGCGTTCGCCGGTATGCGCTGCAGCTTGCAGGCATCCACCTGCAGCTCCTCGAGCTTCTGCAGCCGCCCGAAGAGACCCGAGGACAGCTCGCTGGCGTGCAGCAAATCCTGACTGCACTGCAGCTCCAGTCGGTTGGCCGTCTCGGCCACCTGCAGATCGAGGGGCGCGGTGGCGTCCAGCGCCCGCACATTGCACTTAATGTCCATGGTGGTGCGAACGAACTCCCAGGCGCACTGCTGCGCATGCGTACTGCGCACGGGCACGGCCACGGCGGCCAGCAGAAGCAACAGGCAGTGGGCCAACATGTTGGATGCTTCACTCGGTTCTTGGTGCGTTGGTTTTGGATTGTTGGAGGTTAGAGCCTCGCCACTCTGTGTGGGGAGAGGGCTCTTCTCTTAGTTTAGATCGGTTTCGATTGCTCTTGGCTTGGGTTTTGGTTGTTGTTGTTGTTGTTGTTGCAACACTCTGTCACTTTCTGGTTTTCATTTTTTGATCGCTTTTTCCAACCCGCGTGTACCCGTAATCCTTGTGTGGCGTGTGGTGGCGTGTCACTTAGCGATTTGCACTATTTTTTTTCTCTCTTTAATATTTCCACTTAATTTTTGGATAGTATTTTTGCTCTTGTTTTGTTATAATTGCTTTTACGTTACGCGTTAGAGACGACGAATACGAATGAGAATGAGAAATTCAGTTTTCGTTTCGTTTCGTTTTTGGTTTGAAGTAATTCGCGTCGGAGCTCGTTTCCTCAGCACATGTTTCGTTCGCCGCGTTTCAAGCCAAAGTGATTGCTGGAGTTGGCCACTGCGACTCCGTTGGCTCGTTGAAAATGTGAAAATACCGACGAGGCAGCGGCAGCGCCGACGACGCGACGTCGCGCAGCAGCAGCAGCAGCAGCAGCACACCGACACGAAACGGACAGGCAGCAGACAGACACACAAAATCTGTGTGCACGTTCGTGTTCTGCCGGCGCGCACTCTTTCTCAATGCACATGCAGGCAGGCAGCATGCATGGCGCTGCTTCGCTCTCACACATTGCGCTCCCACACAGCAGAGGCAGAGGCAGCGACAGAGGCAGCGACAGAGACAGCGGCAGTGGCCGAACGGAGAGCATGCAGAGCAGCAACAATTGCATTTCCTGCCTGCATATGCTCGTATAACATGCATGCTCTCTCACGGCTGCTCTCACTCTCTCGCTCTCGCCAAAAGTAGGGGAAATGTTGCTTGTACACAAACACATACACACACACACACGCACGTGTGTGCAGCAACAGTTAACCCTGCAATGGCCCATGTGTTGGTGGTATGAGCGTGGAATGCTCTCAGAGAGTGAGATTGGGAGAGCGCAATTTGCATTGTGAAATGGATTAATATTGGAGGAGTTCAACATGGGTTATCGCTGAGGCGCTGCTCCAGTCAGAGCTCCAGCCAGAGATTGTCTCTATAAGGCATTTATTATCGGGGAAATGTGCACTTGAAATGGTAATTATTCCCTGGAAATTAGTACACAGTCGCTGTACGACAGATAAATGATGTTGAGTAACCAAATCAGGGACCTTATTGTTTATATTTATGTAAAATAAAACTCTTAATGGAATGTGAAGCATTATCAAAATCCTTTGGGAAGTTCCAGCAACAAGTTCTTCGTAGTGCCCCCACAACAGCATTCTCTGTCTATCCCATTGGACCCCGATGGGGTTAAATCAAACCTGCAACAGGCTGCTGTTGGCTGGCAACATTTCGCCACCAACCCACCACCCAGTCCCTCACTCTATCGAGGCAGACTCTATCGCCTCCCTGCTGCCAGTTGACTGACTCAGTTCGTTTAGAGCCCCTCGTGTTGCACACTACACACGATGTGTCCCCCCAGCAGTGGAGAGTGAAGGAAGAGCCGTGTGTTGCTACAGTTTGGCATGTTGCATGCCGCTTGGCTTTTAACAGCTGCCTGCTGGTGCTTCTGCTGCTGCTTCTGCTGTTGTCGTTGCAGCGGCGATTTCTGTTATTGGTGGGCACAATCCACTGGCCAATCCCCAACTCTCCCCTCTGGTGTCTGGAGATGCCGGAGAGTGTTTTGTTGTTTGCCATAAAATGTTGAATCTATTGTCGCATGTTAAATATATTTTAGCAATATTTGTTGTGTGTTTTGCTGCTGTCAAACATTTCTTGTGGCTTCTTAGTGGGAGTTCGTTTCGGTTTTTGGCCAAGTTTTTGCATTCAGCCACATCTGCGGCTGCCGCTCTTCTACGTTTTTCCGTTCGCCAATGGCAATTTGGCAAATTGCTTAGCTTTTTTTCCTCCATCCCCGCTTAAAGCTGATCGGTAAGAGCATCTGTATGTGTGTCTGTGTGTCTGTCTGTGTGTGAGTGAGTGAAGGAGAGACAGCCGGGACAGGGGCAAAACTTGTTAGTTAGAGACGTTGTGTTCTTTATTTCCATTTGCAGCATTTGTTCCACGGTTGCTACTGCACCTCATTTGGAGGACTGACTCTGTTACCGCCTGTCCCATAAACATTGCATATGAGTGTTGCAAACCAGCAGTGGCAGCAGCAGCAGCAGCAACAGCATCCGCAACAGTGGCAATATTACAGTTTGAATGCCACTATTATGCCATTTCGAATGGAAACTGCATTCAGGCGTGCAACAAGCTGCTTCTGCTGCTCCGCTTGTTGCACAAAAAGGTCTTTGGGAAGTTTGTCTATTCCTGCTGCTGCTGCTGCAGCATTTACTTTCCCCCCCCCCCCCCCCTTCGTAAACTATTGTAGGGGGCATTGCCCCTACCTGGCCCAGTTATCCGGCGTATTTGTGCGAGTTTTGCCTGCTTTTTCGGCTGTCGACTTATGCCACTTAAAATTACATTAAAAAACTTTGCTACTCCACCTCCTCCGCGAAGTGTAGCCACCCAGTGGCAGGGGCAGCGTGGCAAACTTTGCCCGGCTTTTTGGATGTTTACGCTTCCACTTCCACTTCCATTTCGGGGTCTGTTGCTTCTGTTGGCTGCAGCAGCCGTTTTGTGTTGTTTTGTTTTTTGCGGCACTGCAAATATGAAAGTTTTCTTACTTAATTATTTTGTTTGTTTGTTTGTTGTTGTTGTTGCTGGTGCTGCTGCTGTTAATGTTGCTGCTGCTGTTGCTGCTGCTGTTGCTATATTGCTATTAATTAATTGAGTTACACTTGCCCCCCTCCCTGCTCGGCTGCTACTTCAGCTTTTGCTTCTCTAGCTGGTGCCCCAGATCCCAGATGTTGTTTGTTGCTCCCCTGCTGTAGTTGCTGTAGTTGTTGCTGCCGCATCCCATAGTTGCTGCTGCTGCGGCTTCTCCTGTTGCTGTTGCTGTTGCTGGTCTTATTGTTGTTTGCTTAGTGGTGCGAATATTTTATGAATTTTTAAATTTCATTAACTCGACATGTGCCCCGAAACTTTTGTGACAGACTATGTCGCATGTCGTCGACCCTTTCGAAATAAACTGTGCGACATAACTGGCGGACATATTCCCATATGTTACATTATTGGGTGTTCATTTTAGAGCTTTTATTGATTTATAAACATATAATTTAAACACTTAATGCTCTGTAATTGGCTTTAGATTTTTTAATCAATTTCTTTTCACCCTTTTTCAGCAAAATTGATTCAATTCGAAGCCTATTTATGGGGTAAGTCATTCAAAAATGTGTTTATATCTACTTGGAATTGGAACTACTACAGAAGTCTCTTTCTGATGTCCATACACGCATTTCGCGCAACTTGCCTGGCCGTACTGCTTTAGACACCAAAATTGTGTTTGGCAGAAGGCTTTCATAAAAGATTCAAAATTCTTGTTGTTCTGTCAACGCAGGGCAGGGGTGAGGAGTAGGCTTGAGCCTGAATAATATTCATACGCCGCATTGGCCACGGCCAGAATGAGAATGAGAATTGAGAATCCTGTGACTGCTCTCTCGGTACAGCTTCCATTTCGCCTCGCATAACTATGTCAAATTAGTGTCTGTCTGTCTGTCCGGGCGAGTCGAGTCGAGTCGAGTCGAGTGCCTCTGCGGCAACATGGATGCGATGCGGTGATGCGCCACCAACTTTCCCAGCAGTGTATTTAGGCTCGCCCCTAAGAGTGGGAGTGGGAGTGGGAGTGGAGGAGGAAGGAGCAGCGGAGCGTCATGGAAACTTTCCCACTCGACTCCTGGGGAAATTGTATTCAAATGCAAACTAAACAGAAACCGAAACAGAAACAGAAACCGAAACAGAGGAACAAAAAAAAAACTATTTTAATTGAATTAGAAAATGGCAATGGGTCAGAAGCACGTTTGTAATGCATAATTTATGTCTGTTCAGTGAGTTTTGTTTTCTGATTTTCCATTTTGCAGTGGAAGTGGCTGCAGCAGTGGCAGTGGCAGTGGCAGCCCGTTGCCAATCCGCATCCGAATGCGGCAAGCGTTTTGCCCGATTTTTTGAGGCCAAAATTTTCATAATCTTTTGGTGAAATAGAAAATTGCCAGAAGGAGCAGCAGCAGCAGAAGGAAAACTCATCTTGTAAATGCAGTTATGAATATCATTGGCGGAGCACCGCTGTAATGAATGAAATGTGGAGTGGGTTGTGGTGGGGTGGGGTGGGGTGGGGAATGGGCATGGAAATGGGGACGTGGCAGCCATCAATGGATTTGTTTGTCTGTGTGTGTAGTTATCCAAATGGATATGGATGTGGCATAGAGTGGAAAGTGCGTGTGACAGCGAATGCCTGCTGTTCCCGTTGCTCCTGCTGCTGCTGCTGCTGCCTGATCCAGCCTTTGCAGAAGAGTTTTTCCTCTGGCAGCTGTCAAGCGCACTTGCAATTGCATTATTCCGCCCAACGCCCCCACTGTCTACACCCAGGGCTTTTAAACTGAACAACAAATTGTAGTTGGATCGAAAGAGCCGATCAACAAGCATTAAGCATTTTTCTTGGTCATAAAGAATTCATTTGGTGACCAAACAAATGAGAATATTCTGCGCATTGATGGAGAATTCTGTTGCTCCTTCTATCTCAACTCCTGTTGTCTAGTGTGATTTACTATTGAGTCGAGTTCTTGTTGTTGTTGCGGTTCCAGACCAGGACACTCATTTGATATGCGGGTTCGGTAATGTGCGCCCACACGTCGGTGCGATGTCGCTGAAACAATGCCAGGCATTTTTATATATGCCAGGCAATATTTATAATGCATATACAAACTTGTATATATTATATGTATGTACATATGTGTAGTGAATAACGAGCGATGCCGACGACCGTTCAAGTGCATCTTAAAGATACTTTTGCTGCCTTGCAGGGCGGCGGCTGCATTGTGTGCTGTTTGCTTGGCTTCGGCTCGAGTGGCGTTTGTTTGCCGCCAGCCTATTGTTGCCACCAGCAGCCCCTCATCCACCAGTCTCTACAGCCCACAGTCTGTTGGGGTTGTGATATATGGGCCTTAATATGCATTAACTCCTGTGACATATTTCCCTCTCAGTTTGGAATGGGGTTAATTACGCGTTTATCGAGCAGTTCCTTGGCCGCAAACTATTTATTGGTCGCCTTTGATTTATGTGCAGCTATAACTCCGGCTGCTTGTCTCTTGTAAACGGAAGTGTGTTTAGTGTTTAGCGTAGAAAGATGCCTGGCTCAAAATATAAAGTAATTTGCATGCCGCGCGATTATTTCTGAGATTCCAGAAGCCACCAACTATAATCACCAACTTCCCCAAGTCTTTTTCGAGTAATTTAAATATTTTTATAATTTTATAAAGTATTCCCCAAAAATGAAAAAAAAGCGGCATTTCATGCCGCTGC